GTGTTGCAATGGCTGCAATAGCTTCACGACGCTGTGCTTTAACCCATTGTGCCACCAGGGAGTGGCCGGCATAGATCTTTTCATGGTTTATTAGGAAAAGAGTGGAAAACAGGTGCCCATGGGTATAGGTGGGCAGAGTGCTGCTGAGCTTTGCTAGAACAAGGGGCATTCCTTTACAGTCTTCTTGGGGGGATGGGTTGGAATCATTCCTTTGTGGAATTTCATTGCTTTGAGGTCTAGTTGGATTGGTTTTCTGTAATGTTAGTCCATTCTGACCCTATCACAGATTCCTGAAAAATCCCATAACTAGTTGAGCAATCACCCTTACCCCCACCTCTGGCTTTTACCCTTGTGAGACAGTCCATCTGAATTTTCTACTCTAAACTTCTGTCCCCTCCATTTCCCCAGGAGTTGATAGGCAAAGTGGTTCTTGGACCCTCTGCCCTTCCCCCCCGCCCTCCTCCTCTGCCCTCCCCCATGGCTGCCATCTTGCAGGGCCTCTCCTTGCCTCCAGATGAAGCCACAAATCCTGCCCAGTCTGGTAGGACCCTTCCCTCCCTCTTCTGCTCTGTCTTGCCTGCTTCCCCAGGGAGTTAATTTGCCTCTGAGGAGTGTCCTCTCAGCAGGATAACTTAAAAACCTACTTAAAAAAACAGGGGGTGGGGGGCTGTATTCAATAGAACACTGTCAACCCTAAGCTAAGGGTGCAAGGGAAAAGTGGAAGGCCCTCATCTGTGCTTGTGCCTTCTCTGACTCCCTGCATGGTGTTCCTGTAGCTGCTGACGTACCTGTTCCCGTTGGTCTTCAGCTTCCCAAAGCCACGGCAGGTCTCATTCCCTCTCATTTCCCTGATTCTTTTGTGGGGTGGGGGTGGTAAATGTAGATTTAATAAGATAATTGCTGTCTCCGCAAAGGCCTTCTCGTCTTACTCTGTGCCTTCTCTTTGACCAGGTCCCTGGTGCCTACTTGAAGGACAGGATGCTCTCCAAACTAGCTCATCTGCAGACTGTGGCTGTGCTTCGCCGAGGATTTCATTCTTCAGTGGCGTCTGCTACGTCTGTTGCTACTAAAAAAACAGTCCAAGGCCCTCTGTCCTCTGATTACATTTTTGAACGTGAATCTAAGTATGGCGCCCACAACTACCACCCTCTTCCTGTTGCTCTGGAAAGAGGAAAAGGTACATCTGGAAATAGCCCAGTCCCCTCCTTTTGCTTGCAGGCTTTTATAAAAATTGCTTTTATGTTTTGTCAGTGTATGTATTTCCAGATGCATTTGATTTCCGTATGGCCCAGTGACTTGTCTCTCATTTTCCTCTGATCTCTCTGAGAGGCATTTTCAGCCGGCATGCTGCCTCTATCCCAAGTACTCAGCTCTGTCTTTGCTGCAACACAGGGCTTTCCCCCACACATCGTCACCACTGGCCATCTGGGTCAGGCCGCGAATGCAGCCTTGCACCCGGTCTCCTCAGCAGGCTGGGTGGAGATTTCAATTGTCCTGCACAGCAGAAGAGCATCTCAGCGTGTGGCTTGCATTCACTCCTCAGGTCTCTTTAGTATAGTCCTTTTTTTTAAAACATAGAATATTCTTCAGTCTTTGTCTTCTTGGTATTTTTCTATTTTTTGCTCATTTCTTGCATTTGAATTATTCCTCTATGACATCATTGGCCTGAGATTCTGCCCTCGTCCCGTTAGCTGCTGTGTGACTGCAGCTAGCACTCGGCCCCTGTCCGCTGACAGAGGCCTCCCCATTCCCATTTGTCCACTTTGTGTTGTCACCAGCCTGGATTCAGTTGACGTGATGCTCAGCACAAAGGGTCTCCACCAGCCTGGCATACGCAGGCCCGTCGCAGCTGGACACAAGCAAACGGAGGTGTGCTGGGCACGGCTTCGGCAGCTTCTAGAAGTCCACGTGCAGGCCATTGTGCGTGAGGACACCTTCAGCACCCTTGCAGAGCTGTGTGAATGTCCGCGGCACCCGCCAGCCATGCCTTCCCCGGCTACAGCCAGGGTGACGGGTGGAGTGGACGCGGAACTTCGCCCAGGCTGTGCCTCTGCACATCTGCTGGTGGCAGGGAGCCCGAGCTTGGTGTTTTTGGGAGTGCAGACTGGTGATTTTCGTAGCCTGAACTTCAGTTTGGGGTTGCTCCACAACAAGCTGTCTGCTGGGCTTCTCCTTGAAATGACTAGTTTTATTTTTCTCTTTGGAACATCTGGCTGGGACATGCTTGCCACTGCACTGTCCTCGCAGTCACTAGTGACTCTTGGTGGAAAAGTGAAATACTGGCAGTTGCCAAAGGGTGACTGAACCCACGTTTTTGAAATGACAACCATAGCCAAGTAAAAACAAGATTTAGTACTTCGCTTTAAGCCAGAAGGTGGCCTACGAGTGTGCACAGCCTGCCACTCGCCTGTGTTTGGGACGAGCACTGTGGTGTGAGGCCCCTGCCCAGTGGCCACCTGGTTTCTCCTTGATAGATTCGGAAATGGTCGGCGTGCAGACATGGTCTTCCAGGGCCTGTGTCTGGAGACTGACCGTCCGGGCACTAGGCCTGGCGGCGTGGGCGCCGGTGGGCGTAGTTCCCGTGCAGACCTCTCCTGTGTCTGACACCACGTGCCAGCAGTCACTAGTGGTGTGGTGACGTGCCCACAGGGGCTTTTGAAGAGAGAAGGTCTGAAGCATCAACTCAGTATGTCAGGTACTGGGCAAAAGTTAGATGTAAGGCCCACATGGGTGCATTTTATAAGAACCGGAGTATAGGCCAGAGTGGGGGAAGGGATGAGAGGATTCGCCAGAGGCAGAGTGGGGAGCAGGACAGACAGATCTACTGAAATCCACTGCTGAGGGGAGCAGTGGGGAGACGGGAGCGGCCTGCTCTGGGTCAGCTCCCTGGCGGGGGGTCGGACTCACTGCCAAAAGCTTCATAGTGCTGAGGCTGCTCCTTGTGCCACAGTGGGAGGCCCAGTGACAGCTTTGTTATGGTCCCAATGGAAGCCCAGTAAACAGTGGGTCACTCTTCTTCGCCCCCCGCTTTTTGGATTTGCTTATTCTAGCTTATAGACCCAACAGGACGGTTTGTGTCTTTTGTGCCTTCTGTGGTGTTGGGGCGCAGCAGGTGGGCAGGCGTTGGCCCATCCTGCTCACCTGTGGGGGGGTGTTCCAGCAGCTTCGGGCCATCACCATGGACGATTGTGCTGTGAATCTGTCACAGCCAAGTAGTCGTTGTTGAATGTTATGTGTAACTTTATATTCCAGTTCTTGTTTTCTAGGAGTAAAAGTTTCACTTTGTTTATAAAACCTTTAAGTTATGCTTATTGAATGTTTAGTTTGAAGATTGGTCAGATAAAAATCATTCCTCAGGCCCTCCCTGGTGTGTGCTGTGGCTTAAAGCGCAGCACTGCAAGCTGGTTGCAGCTGCTTCAGCTCGAGTTGGATCCCCAGCCCCAGAGCTGACCCAGAGCAGACCTCTCCTGTCTCCCCACTGCTCCCCTCAGCAGTGGACTTCGTCGATCTGCCTGTTCTGCTCCCCACTCTGTCTCTGGTGAAGCCTTTCACCACCCCCCCACCTCTGGACTGTATGCCAGTTCTGTATGCATAAAGAAAGCTTTAAAAACAGAAAAAGGTAAAAAGCATTCCTCATAAACCAGAGTTTATTGTGCTTGAGCTAAAATATAACGTGCCCTGGCCAGCTTCTCTCCCAGAGGCCCACGCGCAGGTGTCTGGAGGGCATGCTAGCAGGCTAACCCTCGCATTTTGTTGCCTGTTAGGTGTTTACGTGTGGGATGTGGAAGGCAGGAAATATTTCGACTTCCTGAGCGCTTACAGTGCTGTCAACCAGGGACACTGTCACCCGAAGATCGTGAGCGCTCTGAAAAGCCAGGCAGACAAGCTGACCCTGACGTCGCGGGCTTTCTACAACGACGTGCTGGGCGAGTACGAGGAGCACGTGACCAAGCTCTTCAGCTACCAGAAAGTTCTCCCGATGAACACAGGTGAAATCTTCCTCCTTTGGTTGAGACCCACGAAGGTAGCCTTCCTAGTGTCTGACGTTGCAAGCATATTTTTCGAACTGAAACGTACTCCCTGTTGGCAGGAGTGGAGGCCGGGGAGACCGCCTGCAAGCTGGCGCGCCGCTGGGGCTACGCCGTGAAGGGCATCCAGAAGTACAGAGCCAAGATCGTCTTTGCAGGTAGCGTCGGCAGGAGCTGCCGAGACCCGGACGTGCCGTGGCAGCTACAGTTTTACTTCTGGTGGCTGCTGAGTTTCTCTCAGAAATTGCTGAGTGACTCTTGGGTTCATTTCCACACTTGATGTTAGCCAAAAGGCCAAGAAGCGGTGGGTTCATTTCCAAATAGCTCTTCAGATAAGATCTTTTTCTGGGAAACAATGCCTGTTGTCTTCCTCCCTAAAACGAGCTGCCATGTCATGGCTTACCTGGCTTCTCGTAGCTGTTTCTGGCGAGCGGGTGTCTCCCTGGGGCTTTCTTGCCCCTGGACTGGCATGTCCCTGTCCGGCTGGAGTGGGCCCTTGGTGTTGACAGCCCTCCATAGACGTGCCCGGAGGCTTGGAAGACGGGCACTGAGGTCACCCTGGCTCCTTTTCTGGAAAGGGCTGAGAGCAGTGACGCGAATGTGATTGGGAAATGGCAGCAGTGACAATGACCCCTCTGACTCGTGGGATCCTTACAGTGATCTTCACTGCACAGGTTCTGCCTTTCCAAAAAGCTTTGATTTTTAAAAACAAAGTGCATGTAAGTGTGTCATTGCATGGGGTAAAAACTCATTCTTGTAATGGTTGAAATCACTAAACAGTCTGCCTGTGTATACGAGCAGCTAAAGGACAAGCCCCACCTCAGAGGGGCCTGCGGAGTCTAGCGACTGCTGGCTGTAGTTGGTGCTGGGGTGACATGCGCCGTCTGCATGGAAGAAACCCTTGGCGTGGCTCTGGGTCCTGCCGTCTTGGGAATCTGGTGCCTTAGCTGAAGGAAAACATGAGTGTTTCTGGCAAACAAAAATGACATCTCTGGTGATTTTCATTTTTCTCGACTACCCAGTCTCTGCTTAGCTGAGAATGTACCGGTGTTTTCACCCGCGTATTGGAAGAAGCTGGTTAGTTAGGGCGGAGAGACAAGACCATCCCGACTGCATGTTTTATACCTGCAGGCCTGGAGGCCGGGCTGCTAACCCTGGGCCAGGGCAGGCTGGGTCCTGTTCTGGGCCTCGCCAAATCAGTGTCTTTGCTTGTGGACATCTAGGGTGGGGACTGCCCAGCTGACAGAGACTACGGGAGGGTAGTTAGAGACGGAGAGGCCGCAGTAATAACGGTCAGTGCGCTGGTGGAGGTGGCTGCTGGCAGAGGTGTGGGCATTACAAGCAGGGAGACCCTTGCCGAGCCGGTGGTATTCCAGTCTCCCCGTCCTGGAATTTGACCCAGTTCAAAGGATCTGTGCTTGCTTCTTCCTGGTTTGGGTCATGTTGCTTCTCTGCTCTTGAAGGTGGGACTTGCAGCCACGGCCACCATCCTACCCCCGGCGCCGGGGCGGTGCTCTAGCAGGTTCTCAGTCCGAGAATATCGTACTGTTTATTAGTGTAGTAAATAGTGGGCCAGATGTTCCTGAACATCTGTCACTGAGCATGTAAAGGGTTATCCCGCCAAGGAAAGCAAAACAAAAAGTGTCTGGGCTTCCCTAGGCTGTTTTCTCCAAACTATTCTCGTTCTGTAGAATAGTCACCCAGCAGCACTGAACTTTGCGCAGGTAAATGGCTGGTTGTCTGTGAAGGAGACTCTTGTCAGGCCATCGTTTTGTGGTGTTCTGAACAGCTGGCTCATCAGGGCTTGGGGTGGCTGAGGGGAGAGGTGAGCACCATCCTCGGGGCTCTCCCGGTCAGGAGCTGAGCAGAGAAGAGGCCGCAGCATGGAGTCCGTGCCAGGCGCTGGCGGGCAGGGAGCTGCGGTGTTAATACCACATTTGGGTACGCAAATGAGAGCTCCCTGGAAGCTCTCTAAAACAAACTCTCCGGTTTTGGGAACTCAAACTTCCTAAGGGGTTTTTAGGTGGGCAGGGGTCTCTGTTCAATTATGAGGTTTGTTTGAAATCGCCATGTTTACTTGCTCTCCTGCCTAGCTGGAAACTTCTGGGGTAGAACGATGTCCGCCATCTCCAGTTCCACAGACCCGTCCAGTTACGATGGCTTTGGACCGTTCATGCCGGGTTTCGAGATCATCCCATACAATGACCTGCCTGCCCTTGAGGTACCTCCTGGCATCATGGCGTTAGCGCAGAGTGAATGGAGAGCATCTGGTGACTGCATGAATCAGAAGCAAGCGACGTGACTGTGTGAAAAGCCACCTTAGCTCAGCCTGGCCAGGACTTCAGACTTGTTCTCTGTGGTCAGCCCCGGCATGGCCAAATTGCATCTGTAAACTCATTCTCACTTGCCAATAACCAGCTCAAGTTGTGTTTTTGTAACTGTTAGCCTGTGTAGTTAGTTTGCTAGATAAATTTTTGTAGTTTCTACTATTCTTAAAATTTATGAAGTGGAAGGCTTGTGAAATAGATTCATTGAAAACTGCTTTTAAATAAGGTTGTTACTTTCTAGAGTACTACATGTAACTCCATATCAGACGATGTAGGTGAGGATAGCTGAAATATTTGGAGCTTCTACTGATTGAATGTCAGAAATGTCATACTTTGAAGTCAGACTATAAGTTTTTTTAAAATAAGGTTTATTTATTTATGCACACAGAACTGGGGTACAGGCCAGAGGTGAAGGGTGGTGAGAGGATTCACCGGAGACAGTGGGGGCAGAACAGGCCGGCTGATGAAGTCCACTGCTGAGGGGAGCAGCGGGCGGGTCAGGAGAGGTCTGCCGGACCATGTGGTCACCTCCGGGGCGGGTGGTGTTTGAACTCATGCTGAAGCGGCTTTAGCTTCTCAGTGCTGTGCTCCAACCCTCCACGCCAGCAGGGAGGGCCCCAGACTATAAGTTTACGTGCAGACTTGGTTTGCATACTTTTAACAGGAGAATAAGCATAGCATATGATTTAGGTTTCCAAACTGGGTGGAGGGGGAGTCACCAAAACCTGTCTGTATTCCTTTGATAGCGTGTTCTTCAGGATCCCAACGTCGCGGCCTTCATGGTAGAGCCAATCCAAGGCGAAGCGGGCGTTATTGTTCCTGACCCCGGCTACCTGATGGGCGTGCGCGAGCTCTGCACCCGGCACCAGGTCCGAGCTTCCTGCGTCCTGTCCTGGGGACCCGCGCCCTGGCCACTAGAGGGAGACACTGTCCTCCGCTCTCGCTGTCCAGAAGCCACTTTCACCTGAGCTGCCTTCCCTTCCCCTCTCCTGGCTCTGTGCTCCCATCCTTCCCAAAGGGATACCCTGGGTCACGTCCTTCTGCTCTTGAACTTAGGGTCGCTTCCCCTCTTCCCACCACGTTATAAATAGTAAGAGGTTAAGTGTTTGTGGGTTAAAGAAGTGAATTAGCTTTGTGTCCAGAGCGCATATGCCAAGCCCCCGCGAGCCCTGCCCGGTGCCTGCGCGCCTGGCACTTCACAGAGCGGGACAGTCGGGCCTGGCACAGGTGGCTGGCGTGGTGCAGGACTTGGCCTGGCCGCCGCCAGAACCGTGCGGGCAGTTCAGAGTGGTGTGCCTGTCTGAGGGGGTGTCGGACGCACCGACTGGGAGAAAGTAGAACGAAGATAACTGTTGTCTGTGGCAACCAAAGTAATGATGACTGCCGTTCCCTAAGGTCCTGTTTATCGCTGATGAAGTCCAGACAGGCTTGGCCAGGACCGGTAGGTGGCTGGCTGTGGATCATGAAAACGTCAGGCCCGACATCGTTCTCCTCGGAAAGGCACTTTCTGGAGGCCTGTACCCCGTAAGTGGAGTCTCCGGCCCTCTCCCTGCTCTTGTGAAATAGCGCGGGGTGTTCCCATCACCTGGCCTCAGCCAGGGCACGCCTTCCTAATGGCTCAGTTTACCTCGTGAACTGTAGGTTACCTGGAATGTAATGTTCTAGGCTCAGAGCCCAACTTGATTTAACCGATGGATTGAGTATTTTTGGAACTTGCTGTGACTTTTGTTTTGCATGGAAACACTTTTTGTGACTACCTCTGTGGACCCTGTGCTTTCTGCATTGCTCAGAAGCATTACTGATTGCTTGAAACGTAGAGGTTGGGAAAAACTAGTGGTTTGTGGTAGTTCTTTTCTGGGGTCTCCTGTGCAGAGCCAGTGACGGGTGCCTGCATGCTGTGCTCAGCAGGGGGCATTTCCCTGTGGGCCAGAGGAGTCCCACCAGCAGTGTCACCCTAAAAGCTGTGCTGCTCTGTGCCTGGGGTGCCTGGTGGGGCTCATGAGCCCTGTGCTGGTCATGTAGCAGCTCCTGGGTGGCGCTCATCGGCTGAGACTGTCCATCATCAGCGTCCTCAGCATGGTCACTGGTGCATGCAGACCTGATGGCCGGTCAGCACTGGGCTCTCTGTCTCCCAGGTGTCCGCAGTGCTGTGTGACGACGAGGTGATGCTGACCATCAAGCCCGGGGAGCACGGCTCGACGTACGGCGGCAATCCCCTCGGCTGCCGGGTGGCCATCGCTGCCCTAGAGGTAACCTCTGCTCAGCACCCCCGTTTCTGTCCTTGCAAGTATCTGAGTGAGTGTTCACCATGAGCCCATCCATACGATGAGAAGGAGAGCGTGAGGTCCAGAGGAAAGGTCTAGACGAGGCTTGGCCCAGATGGGAGTCTGGTGCGCTCAGGGTTTGTTGCCTGGGCGCTGGCCTCAGAGCTCTCGCGCTGACCGGGTCCATCAGGCCCTGGGCTGCGCACTGTGCTTTTCTTTCTCAGGGTGGATTTGTGTTTTATTTTTTTAAGATGTATTTATTTACGCATGCAAGAACTGGGGTATAGGCCAGAGGTGCATGACAGAGTGGGGAGCAGAACTGGTGGAGGGTGGGAATACACTGCTGGGGGGAGCAGCGGCGGTCAGGAGAGGTCTGCTGCGCTGGTGCTGCAGTGGCTGCGCGAGCTTCACAGTGCTGCGCCTCAGCCTGCTGCGCTGGCAGGGAGGGCCGGACTCGTGCACTCTTAGCTGTACTGGCCTTTGTGGACCCTTCCCTTTGCGTGTGGGCTGTGCTCTGTCCAAGGCACCGGTAGGAAGGGCTCTGAACATGGGTGTAACTTACTTTAAATGCAGGTTTTGGAAGAGGAGAACCTGTGTGAAAACGCGGACAAGATGGGCGTCATCTTGCGAAATGAACTGATGAAGCTGCCTTCCGACATCGTGACCGCGGTGCGAGGGAAAGGGCTGCTGAACGCCATCGTCATCAGACAGACCAAAGGTGCGGGGACGCGACCGCCGCTGCTGCTCCGTGGAGGAGCGGGGCGCCGGGCGACACTTGCCGCCCCCTCGGCCGCGGCGCAGCGGGTGTTGGGGTTTCTGCGGAGCGCAGGCTCGGTCTTCACACACGACGCACAGTGAGCCCCTCCGATCTACGAGCTAGTTCCCCGTGACTCGCTGGGTGTTTTGCCCTAGACCGGTGGTGCAGGACGCGGGGATCCAGGGACCTCGTTAGGAAATTGATCTGTGTCCTCGCTGCTCCCCGAGGCTTCCTGGACCTGGCGCGTCGAGGTGGGGGGTTCACCGCCGTGTGACGGGAGCCCCCCCCGTGTTGGAGAGATAACCCGGCTGCTGTAACCGAGCGGCTGGTGCCAGGCTCTCCTGGCCTAGCGCGCCTTTAGTGCCGTGGGGTTTCCTGTGACGGCCCTTCCTTTGCAGGCAGGGCTCGACACTTCCCTGGGGTGTGATTGTGACAAGATGAACCCGAACTTAGTCCCACTCTAGAGATGCTGATGCGAGGCCGGTGCGCCCTGAGGGGAGCCCTGCAGGCCGCTCCTCCTCACAGATGCTGTTCTAAAGGCCTGTGACTTTTACGGCCATGGGAAAAGCACTCCGAATTTTAAAAATGGGCCTGGAGCCTGGAGCCTGGCCCCTCGCCCCTGAGCTCAGGCAGCCAGCCACGGTCAGCCCGCACCCGTCCAGGCTGCGCCAGCTCTTTGCCGCAGACCCAGGCTCCTGGGGGTGCTGGGGCGCCTGGGCACGCTCTTCTCGCGCTCGGTCTCATTTAAGATTAACAAGCCCTGCGTACAGCCGTACCTCAGCCGGGCCTCCGCGCACTTGCTGGAGTCGCTTCACGGCGGAGCGAGGGTGGCGCAGCCGGGCACGGGCACAGGCAGGCCCTGTCCTCGGCCCTCGCACTTCGCACGGCCCCAGTCGACGCTTTTCATCTGGACTGTGTGTTACCTTCGTTCCGTGTGTCGGGAGTGGATGATTTATTCTCACCTGAATTAGATTATTTTTATATTTTCCCGCCACCATCCCACGTCTTCCTGTCCCTTTGCTCCCCCTTTGCCACAGGGTCCTTGGGGTGCTGGTTGATGTCCGTTAGATTTGCGCGTGCTCCCCACGACCGCGTTGTCTGCTCGGAGAATGCGCAGTGTTTGTCTTTACTGTCTGCCTGTGCTCGGTTCTCATGAGCCCCTTGGGGATGCGGCTGTCTTTCGCCCTGAGGCTACACCGCACTCGTGCGCACGTCAGTGGCCGGCGCCGTCTCAGCACTGACTGCTGCTGCTGTGAGCGCTGGGAGCGTGCGGCTCTCGCGTGGCTGGTTCCTGGTCTGGGGAGCTCGGACTGGGGCCTTGGGTCGCATGCTGTCCCTTCCCGCTGCCCCGCGGGCTTGAGTGGCGCGTGGGATCCGTCTGCGCAGCCCTGGCCACATGCTGCAGGCCTGGTCTCGCCGTCCGTCTGACCCGCCTGCGTGTTTGGCCGTTTTGTTCCAGATTATGATGCTTGGAAGGTGTGCCTGCGTCTCCGGGACAACGGACTTCTGGCCAAGCCCACCCACGGCGACATCATAAGGCTCGCGCCTCCGCTGGTGATCAAGGAGGACGAGATCCGGGAGTCCGTGGAGATCATCAACAAGACCATCTTGTCTTTCTGAGCGCCTGGCTGCAGCCGGGCACCCAGTGCCACCCGGAGGCCGGCAGGTCTGGCGAGCCCTCCGCGCCGCCCTCGGGGCTCCCCCGCCGTGGTGTCTCAGACCTCTTTTTACTGCATCTGTATTTTCAGCTCCCACCTTAGAGCGGCGTTTAGAAACGCAGTTGAGTGCCCAGGGCCGCCGGGCTCCTGCGGGCTGCTTCCGAGGTGGGGCTTCCGCCCTGCAGTCAGCCTCCAGCCAGTGTAATTTATGTGTTTTTACAATTTCCTTGCTGGTACAAATACTCCGTTTTTGAAAAGGTTATACGGGGTGTTACGTAGTAGACTTGCTAACCTTCTAAAGCTGAATCATGAGAGTTGACGTTTAGTAGGGCTTAATCCTAATCTTACATAAACGCCAGATTCAAGCAAACTTTATATGGACCGGCTCCCCGGCCTATTCTGTGAATGGCATCATTTTGAATAAGCTAAGGTTTAAACTCCCCAAATCGTGTTTTAGGCATTTGATATAATTTGTAAAAAATATTCCTTTCCAGTGTTTCTTTAAATTCAAAATAAAGCATATTTGAAGTGTTTCGTGGTGAGCCCGCTTTTATGTCGACGCTCCTTGCATCTTTTATGCATTTTCGAAGTGCTCAGTGCCCTCGGTGATACCCAGAAAACTAGAAATCACAGGCAGTCTTTTCTGCTCCCTGCCGCAAGCAGCCGTTCTGGGCGCGCGTCCTCGCGTGCGGCGTGGGCAGCCTGTGCCCTGCCTGAGCCGGGCCTGAGTCGCGGCTCTGGCTGCATCTCATTGCTGCTGCCTTCGGCCTGCGTGGCTGCACGCCCGGCCCGGCCACCGTCCTTTTCAGTTGTCGCTGTCAACAGAGCTTGGGACCGATTTCTGCTAGTAGCTGGAGCCAGCCTGATAGATTTTTATAGGCCCGATTCCCTACGCTAAATATTTTTAGAAGGAAAGGAAAAGCTTAATATAGGTGGACCTTCCCTGGTGGCGCAACGGGTTAAAGCACAGCACTGTGAAGTTTGCAGCAGTGAGCTCGATCCCCAGCCAGGGAGGTGGCCCACAGGGCGCGGCAGACCTCTCCTGTCTCCCTGCTGCTCCCTCAGCAGTGGACTTCATCAGTTGGCCTGTTCTGCTCCCCGCTCTGTCTCTGGTGGATCCTCTCACCACCCTGCACCTCTGGCCTGTGCCCCAGTTCTGTGTGCATAAATAAATCTTTTAAAAAAAGAAAAAAGAAAAAATGGAATAGAGTGAGCCAAAAAATTAGAATAATAATATAGGTGACCAAGAGTTTCAGTTCTTTGACAATCATTCAGGCCACCACCACCAATTTGTGAGCAATTAGAAGTTTGCGAATCTTTGCAAGACCAGAAAGTGGCAGTGCCATAGGCTGAGTCCTTTCCTACTGTCCCCACCGTGTCCCCTTTTCATCTCAAAATACTTGCAGCTACTGGGAGAGCACTGGTCTGAGCACACAATGTCCTTGGAGGAACTGGCCTTCTTTCCCTGTCAATGTTCTACCTGGTCCTCTCCAGAAACTTCTATCTGGACCATTCCTTTGAAATGCAAACTTCAGCAAAACTTCAGGAAATTTTTAACAGAAGAGAAAAATGGTTTATCCTTTACCTTTTAAGTAATCCACTTAGAGAACAAAGATTCTGCGTTTTATCAAAATGACTTTATGAAGTTCACGTCTCTTATAAGTATTTGATTATTTATAAGCTGAGTCTTTCTATTGCAAGGCTATGAAATGTATGAAATGAGGTCCCTTGGTTTGCTTGAAAGTCTTTGTCACTTGGGTTAGATGTGTAACTTAAGTGGTCAGTGACCGGGCCTATCCACCCAAGTGTCTTAAAAAAGGTGGTTTTCACATAAAAATAGGACTTTCCCACGGGGCCCTGGTGTAACAGGGGGGTCCCTAGGAAAAGGGGAAGTTCCAGGTTCCCTGCCCCACCCAGAAGGAGGGTGGAGCTGAGCAGAGAAAAAGGAGAGAAGAGAAGGAAGCAGGATGGAGGAGGAGGAGACCTGAGGAAGCCACAGGGAGCAGCGAGCATGTGATGGAGAAACCGGGCTTGTTTCCCGGCCCTGGACTGGCTAAGGCAGATGTGGGTGAGATCCCTGTAGGGAGGTGACTGGCAGTGTTTATATGGATTTTGATTTTGCTCTTTTGCTCCCAGACTTGTCTGGCCATGTCTGACCCTTTTCCATGGGTCCCGGCCAGAAGGTGCTTTAGTCTCGTGGCAGCTTTCAGGCCTGCTCTGGGCCAGTCCCTTTTGGGTGGACTTTTTGCCCACGAGGGGACAGGTCACTTCAGGTGTTTGATTTAGAAGTTCTATTCTTTGTCTTCCATGTTGTATACTCACTGTATTAAAGTCCCCTTTCATTAAAGTTTTATATGTTTTGTCTTGATGCGGCGGATGGCAGAACCCACTTAGAGCAGGCAGGTGTGGGGCCCCTCTCCCCTGTCCTGTAACACTGGAATATCTCACGAAATTTCAAGTATTCTCCCCTTACAGAAAGGAATGTATTGCGTGAATTTGACCTACCTGGGAAGCTTTGTCCAGTAAGCCAGACTGAGCCTTTACGTCGTAGTTGTTTATACTGCATGTGTTGTAGTTGTTTATACTGCATGTTCCAGACGTCAGTCCTGTGGCTGCTGGCGGGGCCATGCTCAGAGACGCCCTGCGATGTTCCTTGTGTGAGGCCAGCGAGTGTGATCGCCGGGGCCTAGGTGTGGTAGCGCCCGCCTGGGCTGTCCGTGGGGCCACTCTTGTGTGCCGTCCCTTGTTGGTCACATGTTGTGGGCTGGCGCATGACTAGGCGTGAAGTTCCAAGGAATCTAGCTTGTTCTGGTATGAGTTAGCAGTTATGCCAGTTTCCTGAAATTGTCATAGAAATAACCCAATGTCAGGCCCTCCCTTGTGGGGCATAGTGCTGTGTACAGCACAGCACTATGAAGCTGTCTGCAGCCACTCACTGCTGCACGAGTTTGATCCCTGGCCAGGGAGTGACCCACAGGGTGCAGTGGGGCCTCCCCCCCACCCCTGTCTCCCCGCTGCCCCCCTCAGCAGTGGATTTTCATTGGATCTGCTTGTTCCGCTCCTCACTCTGCGTCTGGCGAATCCTAGCCCCCCAGTGCCTCTGGCCTGTACCCCAGTTCTTGTATGCATAAATAAATAATCTTAAAAAAAAAAAAGAAATCGTGGTAATTAAACAGTGTGGCAGGCACTCTTTCCAAATCTGTTCAGTTTTATCCCAGGCCGGACTGTCCCCACCTTACAGACAGGAAGTCAAGGCTGAGACAGGGAAACTTGTCTTCCATCATTGGAATAACTGGAGGAGCCCTGAAGTCCTGGCGGGTGGGGTGGGGGTGTGAGGAGTCACCTGGGTGAGGGTGAGGCCTGGGTATTTGTCTCAGAAGGCTGGAAGAGGGGCCCCAGGTGTGGAAAAGCTTCTCAATTTGTTTCTAACTTGGGGGATGAATTTAAAAGCTACCAGCAGGAGGCATTCAAGTGAATAATATATACACCAAAGCAGCTTAGTCCATTTAGGGGAAACTTCAAAATTCTGCTGCCCTCGGCGTGTGCAGTGGCTCAGAGGAGTTTTATTAGCTCTCCTGGTTTTGTTCTGATTTACTTGCAAATAAGATTCCTCCATGCTTTGGCCCAGGTGCTCAGATTGTTAATGAAGTATCTGAGCTAATAAGGCTTTAGTAGTTTGCATCATAATGCAGAACAGGGAAGCTCCACAGACATCAGAATCAGAACAGGGAAGCTCCACAGACATCAGAATCAGGAGGTTTGCTGTGGCTCCAGTGAATAAGGGGCTTCAGGCTGGCCCCCCCACCTTGGGGAGCAGCCTTCTCTCTGGAAGGAGAGCAGAGGGTGCTTGTAAGTTCCTCCAGCCCCCTTTCGCCTCTGCCATCCCTTTTATCACAAAAACACTTTAATTGAGGGGCTCCTGAGTGCCAAGTCATGTATTTATTAATGATCTGGAAGCAATTACTCCTGGGAGTAATTAAAAAAATGTATGCAAATAGCACACAAAACTGCAAGACCTTACATGGCAGCATGGAGTCCTGCGCCCCAGGAATTCTGGGATCAAGGAGGGTGTCTGCCAACCCGTTCATGTGTGGACATGAACTCAGGAGGCTTGTGAGGGGAAGGACGTGCCAGGGCCCCGCCGGGGGTGCTGGGGGGCTGAGAGCCTGTCCCAGCTCCTGGCTTCTCCGGGCTGGGACGGCAGCGGGTGTGTGTGACACCAGGGTGCGTGACCGTGGGCAGTCTGCGTGTCGAGCCGTCCTTTGTGAAGGGAGTGTCCAAGTAAGCCAGAGGGCTGTTAGGACGGAATCTACACAGCCTGAAACTGCGGCAGTAGCGGTGGTTATGATCTTTCCCTACTTCTTACTAGCAGGGCGGGTTTGCAACAGTGGACAAAAGTGCCCCGACCGCTGCTTTTTTTTTCTTTAAGGATTTATTTGTGCATACAGAGCTGGGGTACAGGCCAGAGGTGCAGGGGGTGGGAGGGTTCACCAGAGACAGAGTGGGGAGGAGAAGGGGCGGACTGACTGAAGCACACTGCTGAGAGGAGCAGTGGGCGGGCCAGGAGGGGTGTGCTGTGCCCTGTGCCCCTCACCTCATGCTGAGGGGCTGCGCTTTAACCCATTGCGCCACCAGGGAGGCAACCCCCTACCCCTTTTAACGAGCGAGGAAACCCCATTTTCATAAGTTGACAGGTTGTCAACTGAGGGCACAGAGCACAGGCCCAGGAGGGTGCTCGCTGGCCTCAAGGTGACCTCCCTCCTGGACGGGGCACCCCCAAGCGAGCCGAGTGGAGCTATGCCACCAGTCGGCAGAAAGCAAGCAGACACTCATCAACTTGCGCTCCCCTCAATCCCGCAAACAGTGCCCAAAGCCCCATCCTTGGGAGACAGATGTGAGCGCCTTCCTCCAGACTTCTGCCAGGTGACCTCGAAGGCTGATCCCTGCTAAGAGTCCAGTTCTGTCCTTCCCCAGACCACTGCGCCCCTTTCTCCTCTTTTCCTCCGTCCCTCTGGTACCTACATATTCGCCCATCATGGGGCGTTTGTCTTCGTCTCTCTCATAACGCGTGGCTGCTGGAGGACAGGTTGTCCGCTGCTGGCAAGACTCTGCACCCCTAGAGAAATCCGAAACCAGACACAAGGGGCTGGGGTTTTGAGCGAAGCCACCTGCCAGCGCAAGGTCCAGGCGCCTCTGGACGGCAGGGGGCGCTGTCCACAAAGTTTTCCTCCCGGGGCCCTCCCGAACGCCGTGTGGTGCGCACGCGCAAAGTGGGCGGGCGAGGCCGCGGATGGCGGGGGCGTGGCAAACTGCGAGGAGGGCGGGGCGAGGCTGGCGGGGGCGGGGCG